TTGTACCCACTGTTGCCTTACATCTTTCCATCAAGGATGACAAGATCTTAGTACCCAGCAAGATTGGCACTGACAGGACATCTACTGTCTGCGACAACTGGACGTAAACAAGGCAAAGTGTCCACTGATTCAAGGCCTGCATGGGGCTAACAACTCACTCTCGACATACCCAAGGTATGACATTTCCGCCATCTGCACATGAGTGAGTGAGTGAGTTAAAGTTTAACATCACATCGGCATCGTGATAAGCTCTATGCCCAAAATACAGTCAAGTTGATGTATTGGAAGATGAGATTGGTGATGCCTGCAGAATGATTCACTTACAGTAGACACTGTGGAACCTGTATCAAGTAGAGCTGTGCATACTTTGTGGGGGCGGTCGGGTAGCCTAGTGGTTAAAGCGTTCCCTTGTCACGCCGAAGACCCGGGTTCGATTCCCGACATGGGTACAATGTGTGAAGCCCATTTCTGGTGTCCCCCACCGTGATATTGCTGGAATATTGCTTAAAGCGGCGTAAAACCATACTCACTCACTCACTCACTCTGGGTGTTGTTTCTGTCTTGCTTGTGGATTGGCCCATGAATCACCTGTCTTCATGGGCCTGTGCATGTTTTAAGTCCAATTGTGGTCCATGATAACCCTACATCCGTCCCACAAATGACCTATCTGTCCACATTTCCAACAAGCAATACCCTGGCTGATCTTGAGGAACACCTCCCTGAAAGGAAAGCCTCAAGGACCATATCTAGGTTGACCTGTAGTGCTGACCTCAACCCGTCCGGTATTGTTCCAAGATGACATATAATTAGATCCTAGATGAGGTCTGCCTCTTCCTCTAAATCCTGAAGGAGACGGAGTGGGAGTGGGCATGGGAATGTCAGCTAATTGCTTTTTAATGGCGCCAAACTCTGCTGTTAACAGTTGCACCATACCTTTCAATTCCTGGTAATCATTGTCAGAAGATTTAGCAGCCTTTTAGAAGGAATTGGATTCCTAGAAGAGTCTTGGGGCTTCCTCTGATTCAACTCAAACTCAATCCTGTTAATCGCTACACACAACTTATCAAAGTCCTCAATAACATTCACATCTTTCAAATTTGTTTTAAGACCTTGCCTAACCTAACCTAAAACGCCATTGTAGATGTACAAACTAAAATGAGGTGAGGTGAAATAGGGTTTAAGATCGCGTCCAAGATTATTGCACTTGTACAGCGACATGCACGTGTGTGTGGCTGCTTGTACTAGTCCGGACTGATGCCGATTCATAGTGCTAGCTCACTGAGATACCATGCCGCAGTTTAACATGAATACCCCACTCAGACACAGTATACTGACTCCCAAGACGACCACTCCTTGTTTTAATGCCGAGCACCAGACAGGGTAACAACAAGTACCATCTTTTAACATCTTTTGGTATGACACAGCCTGGGATCGAACCCCAGACCTTCCGCTCTCCAGGCAGACACTCTACCACTAGACCACGGAGGCGGTCTACAAACTAAAGTGCAAAGTAAAGAATAAGTTGAGTGATGGGTGCCTAAATAAGAAGTGTAAATGTGCAACAAGTATAATATTATGTAACTTTTTATTGCCTAGTTAAGATTGAATAGATAAATAAATGAATTGACTAACTAATATTTCGGTAACTATTTGATGTAAAACTAAGCTTGTTTTGATATACTAATTAAAGTGTAACTAAAGTGTAGCTATGTGTTACTAACTAACTGACTAAGAAGGAATTGACACAACACAGGGGCTACATACAAGTGACCAAATTCATCATGCAATCACACGTCACAATGTAAACAAACACATACCACGCAAAACAAAGGCAAAAAAACCCTATAAAATAAATGTAGAAGGGCGTGGCGTCATCCCACAGATGACATCCTTACCTTGTCAGCTTGCTGATGGGGTTAACCTCTTTGGTCATGTGGACAAGGCATCCGACCTCGGATCAGAAGGTCCGTGGTTCGAATCCCATCACGGAACTCGGAAATTTTATGGTCGCTACATAAACATGGGCAATAAGAGGTAAATCTGGGCAACTGTTAAGTTCATTTTTGTTTCACAACCCGTAAATAAACAAATATTATCACAGTATTCAGATACAAGTAAATATTAATAAAAGTCAGAAAATATTAAAATATCCCAGAATCTGTAAATGTCCAATGCACTATGTCATAAATCTGTAATGTTCACTGGATCACTGCTGCACACTCAAAGTTCAATGCTGAAATATGTTTACTGCTACATGTGTATTGAAGTACTGATCTGCAGACAGCATTTGGTAGAAGAAATGGTGGCCTACAAATCCTCTCGCTTCGACCATAGTGAGTGAGTGAGTTGGGTTTAACGCCCTTTTTAACAATATTCCAGTTATATCACAGCGTGTCAGCTTAATGTGGGAGGAAAACCCAAAGTGATGCAGGTCCCAGACATTTACCACTTTGGTGAAACCCATGAGCACGGGTATGGTGCTGACAAACCAAGAAACATAATCGGTGTGAACTGAGATTCGAACCCACAATCATTGATTTCTGGCGTGCCCTAGGGACACAATTCTGCACAGCGAATCGCGGCGCCTTAGACAACTGGGCCACCCGTGCCCCCTGCTGGGACCATAAGTAAGGAAAGGTGCATGCATGGAACGTTTTTCATTTCACAATTTGGAGCACCTTTAGAATACAGTACCACAACTTCTCGTGAGGACGATCTCTGCCGTAGGTCACATGTCTCAAGACAAGCAACCAGTTTTTTTGTGAGAATCCGTCGGACTCGAACCTGTGACCTTCGATTGTTAGCCTGACAGCTAACCGACTGAGCTACGTCCACACTGTTAAACTTAGTGCAAATTTACCTAGTCATGCCTATGACGTTACGGAACTGAACGAAAAGGGTCGAATAGGTGACGGACACTTACGAAGGTTACGGGTAGGCATGGTGTCTCGCGACTTTAGTCTACGGACACTTACGAATGATCCCGATGCCATTTGGCACACTCGTCCCATTCCGTAATCTACTAGAAACCGAGTGGTGGGGAATGAGCCGATATGCCGCAAACTGAAAACGGCTCCAGGCGTCAGACGTCGAACTCGCGAGTACGCATGAATGAAAAGGTATTTAATAATTCGTCGGGTGATTATTTTGACAGAAAAGAGTGGTAGGGATCACTGTAAGGATGATGTGGATAATAGTAAGGAACAATGGAGGAATAAGCATGACTAGTGACAACACAACGGTGAGTTCGCTTTTGAATCAGTACTGAAAAAATGTAGCCGGTGAAAGTGGCTTGTGTGAATGTTCCAGGACAGTTTCCAGTAGCCAAAATATTCGACACAAAACCATTTCATCCTTTTTACTCGACGTTTTTGTGTGAAGAATATTAGGAGCTGCTATATAATCTATAATAGCCACTAAACGAGTACCTAACCCTAATGATCGTAAAGGGGTGATTGATCGCAAAGGGGATCCAAGGGTTAAGGATAGACTTCGGGTAATCTAATAGTCACTAAACGGGTTCCTAACCCTAATGATCGTAAAGGGGGTGATTGATCGTAAAGGGGATCCAAGGGCTAATGATAGAGAGTTCGGGTTAACCTACCCTAAAACTGGCGACATTTGGATGTGTTCAGCACCAATATAATATCCCTAATAAACTGCATTCTTGTGCATAATAATGAAAATTAATGAACCGAAAAAATAATATATGTATATTAGTTCCCATTTATAACCATTTTATCCACTTCAATTACGAGAAAAATGCAATAAAAAATATATAAAAAAAAAAAGTGCTTTGGTAAACTAGCACTTGCTCTAAAATGCGCCGCTGCAGGCTATAATTAGTAAACAAATACTCAAAACTCTCAACACCGCAGGGCGTATTCAATGACATTGCGAGTAGAGATGATAGATCACTGGGAGGAGCTTATGCACACTCGATGACCCCTGACGTCACTGGGCATTGTCTCGCCGGTGTGATTGGCAGTAAAATACTACAAATTACGTCATAGGGTATGATCACGTGTTTGAAAAGTTTGTGGTACTGTATTCTAAAGGTAGGCCCACAATTTCCGTAAAAAAGTAAAATCATTCGTTCCAGTTTGAGGACCCAAATACTGCAGTCTACCCGAATAAGGAAATAATGTAAAAAAAAGTCAACAGTTTGTGTACAGGCATGATGCTTGCGATAGAGGGAGACAATATGCGGGGAGGTAACTCTTGTATAACAATAGTTCCACCAAAGTGTTATGTTCACTGTAGTGAAATTTCAAGTATTATGTTCACTGCAATAAAAACATCACATTTCAAAATTTCAGAAAAGTCTTTCACACTAAAGTATATAACAAAGACACACTACAACTGATGAAGACGACAAGCCCTGTAAAACTATGGTTGACCTGAAAAAGACTATGATGTCAAGTTTTGCAAGAACTGCCATATGTCATGTGTAATTTCAATTCATAGTCATGTGTGTCATTACTTAAACAAATATATTAATTATCAAATATGTATTATAACAAACATAAATGCCAATTCATAATAAAACATAACGTGCAATGAATCTAAAAGAAATATCATAACATTTTTAAAATGAGTCCGTTTTGATGAAATTGTTATTTGCCATGTTGGCTTTATGGCGTTTTAACTATAACCAAAAAACACAAGCGAACTGGTTTGCGCATATGGATACATAAGGTGTCTAATCATCTGGTTCTCGCCCCACCCAACATGGTAACGTCACCTACCTTTAGAATTCACCATCACAAAAGTGTTGCAAAACACACAGGCTAAACAATGCCCTGTGACGTCAGCCTGACAACGGCCGGTGGGTCATAAACTGGTTCCATATTGTTGGTACGCGACGCAAGCTAAGCCACGACGCGCATAGTGAGCCGGGAACTAGCTTACGGGGTCATCGGGTGTGCACATGCTCCTTACAGTGATGTATCATCTCCACATGCAATGTCATTGAATAAGCCCAGCCATGTTGAGAGTCTAAGTGACATGTGATCTGCTGCTGGTCTCGTCCTCACGAGTTGTTGAGAGCTGTATATATTCTGAGGTGGTCCGGTAACGTTCATGACAAGGCCGCCGGGTAGTTTGGCGACAGGGAGGGGCAGTATATACAATATTTTTCTCCATCATGGGGGGAAATGGGTTCATTAAGCAGAAGAATGGCCATGCCAACGGATTAAATGGGAAACATGTGAAGGTGAGCAAAATGCATTTGTAGTAGATTGCAGACGATACAAATTCAAGATAGTCTGTCATGTCAGTAAGGAAAGCTCGGCTGAATGCTTCATTGCATGTTGATATATTTTGTTGATCTGTTGAGCTTATCATTGTTTTCTATCCCCAAACAAACATTGTTTGTTTGTTTGTTTGTTGTTCAACGCCGTTCAACTCAGCAAAATGGTTGAACTTTGTCTTTTCATTGCTTTGACTGGAAAGTGTTCGGTGGATTGTTTGCGTCATTTATATTTCAACATTATAGATCTAGGGATTATAATTATAGACCTAGGACGGTAACAACAGTGAATATGAACTAAAAATGAATATTGATATGTATTTCCGTGAGGAAGAGGTATTTCAGATCCGGTTGTTGTACACAAGAGATCAGGTTTGGAAATAGATTTGGTGATAAACAATAACATATTTTGATTTGTACCAGTAAGTGGACAAATTGGTTGTGGTATTTGGTACATATTATGGGCAGCCATCCGGTCAAAAAATACCTTGAGAAAAAGACAAAAGTATGCAGTAATAGTCAAATGTTACGAATAAAGAATGAATGTTACAAATAAAGGTCGTTGTTTACATAATCTGACATACCCTATTTTCAAACAATTAGGATGGCCTTGCTGATATTTCGAGGGATGAGTGAATCATCACTCAAATTCTGCTTCATACCAGTAGGTGATGTCTTCAACATTGAATTCAGTAACTTTCCGAGAAAAAAAAAACTCCTCGATAAAAGGCGTGACCTCCATTACCTTGTCTGTAAACTTCTGCTGCACTTGAGTGATGTCACCTATTGTCAAACTCCTGATTGGTTTCGTACTTTAGGTTTTCTAGAATGAAGAGACATGTTTTGGTGCACAGTTCTCAACATTATTCTTGCATGTCGGCATTAAAACTCAAAAAGTAATTGATAGTTTGTAACCTATTAAAAAAATATGAATAGTTGTCACAATATTGTGTTCACACTATTTCATTCTTCCCTTTTATCATGACAGGGACACCTTAATTCTTGCATGTCGGCATTAAAACTCAAAAAGTAATTGATAGTTTGTATCCTTTTAAAAAAATATGAATAGTTGTCACAATATTGTGTTCACACTATTTCATTCTTCCCTTTCATCATGACAGGGGCACCAAAACTCTGAATGACGACGGAATGTTCTGACATGTGTACAGTACTTCACATGAACTCAGTGTTGACAGAACGAACACATGCATTCTTAAGTCGGCAGTTTTGATGACATCACACCTCTCCCTATAATGTGACAAATCATTATCAAACGGCTGTTCGAAAATAGGGTACTTGATGATACAAATAATGAATTCAAAATACAAAACAATACCAATGAACAACTCGCAAACAGCATTTGTAACATTCATTCTTTATTCGTAACATCTGACTATTATTGCATGCTTTTGTTCTTTTTTTCAACATTGTATTTTTATTACCAGATGGCCGTCCATAACAGATCTATGTTGATGAGTCATGGCTATTGCCTGCTCTCATAATGTGAGTTATCTCCCTTCCCATTTACGTTGGCCAAGCTCCTTTCTAGCATGTGACACCTTTCGTTACACTCTGCGAACAGGGTATCGCAGTGAGGAGCTTGTTACTCTGTTGCAAAAGACCGTCTACTTCTAGGATGTACTTGGCAACAATGATGTCTGTTGATGCGTTACCTGGAGACAGAGAGATAGAGATCATGAAAGTTAAAGGCATATCTCTGCAATATGTGACTGGTAAGATGTATGAGCTTGTAAAGAGGGCAGGAGGGGTAACTTTGTTATCCACAGGAAACACAGAGACATATATACCCTTGCTCTTCAATCCTTGCGTTGAATAAAACACAAACTACATCACGCACACACGTACGCTTCACCATTGAAACTCTGCGGCAAATTCTGTTCTGTGATATCACCCACAGTCTTTCTAGGTAAAGCACATGTTATTAAAAGGACGTTTGATGATTAGGTTTATCGTAAGTATTGCTACTTTGAAATTTTAGTAAATTAGACTGCCTCCGTGGTCAAGTGGTAGAGCGTCCGCCCGGGGAGCGGAAGGTCCGGGGTTTGATCCCCGGCCGCGGCATACCAAAAGACGTTAAAAGATGGTACTTGTTACCCTGTCTGGCGCTCGGCATTAAGGGCCTAAAACAAGGACTGGTTGGCTCGGTGTCAGTATACTGTGTCTGAATGGGGTATTCATGTTAAACTGCAGCATGGTATCTCAGTGAGCTAGCACTATAAATCGGCATCAGTCCGGACTAGTACAAGCAGCCACACACACACACGTCGCTATATAAGGGCAATAATCTTGGACGAGACGTTTCCCATTTCACCTCACCTTTTAATAAATTACCATTCACAGCATAATTTCTATAATTTTTAAATTCTAAATATCAGATATTTACTTGGAGAATTCAGTAACAAAAATAACACATTAATGATAAAGGGTATCGGTATTTTTCAAGCGAAACCGCATTGTTGGTGGTTCTAGAAGGGAGCTAACTCCGTTTCCCTAATTAAGAGTTTAGAGGTGGGCCTACATTCGAAACTAAATGCACTTGTTGTAGAGAATAGGTACTACTTATTACACTACTATTTTGTCTATCTCAAATAAGTATTGTGACTTTTATTTGGATTAGAATGTACAAATGCATAGGAACCAGAGCAGAACTTAATTCTATGAACACCGCAAAACTAGGTTGTTGGGTAATATTCATGAGTTATTCCTTTAATGGAACAAGTTCCCGGAAACGTCTCAGGTCATACTCATAGGCTTGTATCATGTCCGAGTTTGATACAAGTGTAGACCAAATTTTCATTTTTCTTGTCGCCATCGACATTTATGATCAGATTGATGTTATACTGGAAAAAGTACATTGAGTGGTATTGCCTCTCATAATTTAATTTGAAGTAAGTTTCTTGCGTTGTAATTATTTTTGCAAAACTCTATATGGAACGAGACTACCTATCGTGAGGGTAATGTCACACAAAATGATTTATTGAGACATTTCCCATCAATATAACAAAATGAGAATAATGTATATATTGCCACATATCCTTACAAAATAATTACAAATGTGAGCTTACTAAATGACCTAATCAGCCCAATGAAGCCTAGCGATTTACAAATATGGGCCCACCTGTTTTGATCACTATATTTGACAGAAGAAGTGGGCCCACATTTTAGAAAATGGTTATAAGTAAGCCAACCTAATGACACTTAGTGATTTATAAATGTGGTCCCTCCTGTTTGTAATCACTGTGACAGAAAAAGTAGGCCCACTGGGCCACATTTAGAACTTGATTATCAGCACTAATTAAGCAACCTAATGAAGCTTGGTGATATACAACTGTGGGCCCACTTGTTTCAATCACTATATATATGATGGGAGCAATGTGGGCCCACATTTAAGAAAATGGTTATCAGTAGATAGAACTTCCAGGATTAGAAACTAACAGTTTTTGTCCACTAGTCCTTATAATGATAACATATAGCAAAACCCTTAAAATGGGCCAATTTTTACTAGTCCTTAGGATACCTTTACTATTGGGCAGTTTGGTAAGGACTACAGGACTAGTGCCAATTTCTAACGCTGACTTCGCAATTTATAAATGGACACCTTTCTAAAAGGCATTTTGTGTTCATAGCCAATAAATAGTTGGACAACGACAATGTACAGTATGACTGATGCCATTTTTCACAAATATGAAAACTATGGAGATATCTCCCGATTTAAATTAGAATGACCTACCTTCCCCAATATGAACTACTGATAATGCGGTTTCACCATTTTTCAAGTCACCAGTGATCATTCTAATAACTTTACAAATAACAAATAATTGTCTAGCATGTTTGAGAAAATATGCAAACACAAATGCCATTGTGGATAGTGTTTACTAAATAATGTTTTGCCTATGCTGTTATGTAACGCTGATTACATCACATATATTTTACTCTCAGCTGCAATACAAACATCCCTCAATTACGCGTTCATTTTAGCAACAAATGACAAGTTGTGACTAATACAAAAGATCTAGATAAAATCAAGCAAAAGCATTCAGGTGTGAAAACGAACGCTGTGATCAGAAAACTGTAGATCTACTTGTTTGTAATGTAAATAGCAAAATTCAGATTTAACTCTGTGTAGTACTTTCTTCTTTTTTGAGTGATCCATTCGTCTTTTCATTACTAATATATTGGTTGAAATTTATTAGAATATGCTTGGGACGATTATCGTAGCAAAAATGAGGGAATATGAAATAGATCTATTGCAATGATTTAAATAAGAATTTGGCAAATTTAGTGTCATGTACCATGTTTCTTATTTTCAGACAAATGTTAGAAGATCAAATGAAGTGTAAATGCAAAATGGACATATTTCCTTTGCAGTGTGATATTCCACGGTAATAACAGTGTTCCCGTTTACTGGTAATTACAAGTTTTTTACCAGTAAATTTAGGCTTGGACTGGTAATCCAGGTGACTGCCAGTCCCTCTGGACCGCCAAATAAAGATCCTTCCTTATAAATCTTTGTTGTTGAACAAAACATCAGTGATATTCATAGACGTATATTTTTTCTAAGAAGACAGCTTGTCTGTTACCATCAGGTCATCCCCTTGTCTATTTATAGTGCAAGGAAAGAACATTTTGCTTTGCTTCGAGGTTAAATATCCATGTGTAGTGACTTTGTCTCGAAATATTAAAAAAAGAGAGAGAAAATTGTGACTGAAGTTTGTGTGAATGACGTGTAGATCTAACTAGGTAACTAGGTAAGTTATTTTGGATATGACTCATTGCACTGAATATGATGTTGAAAGAATTAAAACCAGGAAACTTTCATACATTTTATATGTTGAAAGTTGGGACTGACAAAAATTGGGGGGACTGGTAATTTTAGGAGTTGCAAGTCCACAAGGACTGGTAGTTTCAAAAGCCAGCGGGAACACTGATATAAGATATAAACA